AACTGACACCCATACCAGGGGAGAGGCTGTGAAGAAACCAATGAAACAGAAATTTAGAGTCAGCAGATACTCAGACCTACCTTCTACTTTTTTGTATCCATAGCGCTTCCCAGGGCTACGGCCACCCAGATTTTTTGAGCTGCCCCCAGTTTTCTTAGAAGCACATCTGACAGCAAGCAGGCTTGTTTGTGGCACTGTTAGAACTAGGTTCAGAGCAAGAACAACAATGTCAGCTGAAAAAAACTATCACACAAGCTTTCTTTTTTCAGACTTAAAGGATGTCAGTTAAGGCAGGCTTTAAAACTAATGGCAGAAGAAAGCCCTGAGGAAAAAAAAATACTTCCAAGATATATTGTAATCAGACCACCATGGCCTAAAGTCTCCTGCAAAGATGCCACTTCTCAACAACTGCTGCTGCCCAGGTGGGAGTAAAGCTCTCAGTAATGATTTTGAAGGACAAACTACACAAATACACATTTCTGTTCTAGCAAGGCCTTGTGAAATGAGGTAGAGACGTTACCAGTTGCTGTGGATTCCTTTTAGAAGAGACAAGTGTCTTGTCTGTTTCAGTTTCCCCTTCGATCACTTACTTACACAGTAATATTTTGAAATCTTACCAATGAGAATACTCCAATTCAGGACAATATATAAGCATATATAGAATTACTATCCTGAACATACTAATAGAAGCATTTTTTGAAAATCTTTGAGTTACAACCAGGACAAATCAGAGAAAAAAATATAAATCAGTTGTTACAGACACATTGCTTCTGGAACAAAGTATCATTCACACAACAAACTTATTCCTTTAAAAAAACCAACAACAATAAAAGACTGACAGAAAACACACTGGTTTTCTTATCAAGAAAGCTGACCCTCTCGTGAAATTTTGTTAAAAATGATTGCAATATGATTAGTTCTTTTTAAAAATCCCTTCAGTACCTCCTTTTATGCTCGTAGCAGGATTCTTCTGAATCCCTCTATCTAGCTCTTAAGCAGGTTAGTAAAGAAGAATGGTTATCAGAACATTCTTGTTTTCTTAACCTGAGTAAAATGACTAAACTAGTTTAATCTTAATTAAATTATCAGATAGCTAAAAATACTGTTTAGAAAAGGTTAACTGCTCTACAAAGAACAATTAATTTCAGGAGTTTACTCATTAAGAAAGGCTCTGAGACCTGACAAACTACAGAGAAGGCAAAGATATATAAGGATGACATTTTCATCTACACAAATTCTACGACATTATAGGCCAATTAACTTTTATTAAAACAAACAAACAAAACCTCCAACAGGTTGATTTCGGGGTTACATTTTGTGCTGCAGGAAAGAAGCTTGCTAACAAAAAAGTGAACCTCAAAGCATCAGACGTGCAGGGAAAAGTGATTATCTAGAGAAGACCAGAGAAATTCTGACTTGATTGAAGTCATATTGGAAATCAATGGAAAAACTTCACAATTCTGATGTCCCACCAAAGAATCATGAGGACATTTCTGCCTGTAACACTTCTAGATTAAAAAAAGGAATTTTTAAAACTTCCTGGCTATAGCACTGCGCAAGGAGAGAGCAGCACCTCTCAGTTTGGTCTCCACCTAGCACACACGAACGCTGTTTTTCTAAAGGCGATTTGTTTCACTATGAGGGCAGTCAAGCAGCAGCACAGAGACGCTGTGCAGTCCCCATCCTTGAAGGTTTTCGAGTCCAGAAGGAATAAAGCCCTCAGCACCTCGGCCCCACCTCAGAGCTGACCCTAACCCTTAACCCCGCTTTCAGCAGGTCACACTATAACCTACCCCCGCATGAATGCCTCTGCCCCCGCGACGCGGTAGGGCCCGCCCATTTCACCTCAGCGCCGCCTCAGCCGAACTGCGGCCTGAAGTAAAGGCCTCGACCCCGAGCTACCGACACTGATCTTCCCCCTAGGGCACC